AAGTAATCAGCTCACATTGACCCCAAAGCTATGAATAAATTGTAGTTGCAGGTTCTGTAATAAACTTTTTACTTAATTCCCACCAAAAGCTGGTTTTTCACACATATCATTGTCAGACTACATCCCTGTCATGCAGAAATTATTATTGTGTATAAGATCATAGTTGTTCTTAAAAATCAGACTGGGTTCACAGTGAAAAATAGATTTTAGGTGACTCATGTTTAAGAAGTCTTTGCGAAATTCATACAGTTTCCCAATCACAAAAATTGTATACTTTGTACTTGCTTCCGTCTTCTTCAAATTCTTTTCCTAGAGATAAGTAACTTGATGTAATGTGCTTTAAATGAAGAATTCAAAGCAATTTATAATCTATACCTAGGCAGTTTTCTTAAAGTACAGTGATAAAAGCTGTATCATTTGTTAAAAAGAAGATTTTATTAATGAAAGCAACAACTGTTGTCACCAGTCTCTCTGGAGTATCCTCTCTTAATGAGTTGATTACAGGTGTCTTGCTTTCTGGAGTAGTTTAAATAGTGTAAGTAAACACACACTGCACAGTGTTAATATTTAGGCAGCTGCTTGAATGGCTATTCGTATAAATCATCATGTTTTTGTGGCAGTTGAGCCTTGATTTAGGTCCCAGCTGAGCTGCAGCTTTTTAATGTACTAATGTTTCACATGCATGGTAAAAATTGCAGTACCTTGCACTATGTTTGCTATTTACTTCTGAACTAACTCTGCAGTTCTTTTATTGCAGCAGGAAGTTTGCCTCCACGAAAAACCACACAACTGAGCTTCAGCATAGGGCAAAACCTGGAAAGCCGTGCCTTCTAGCACCAGTGAACGGCAAGCTTTGTATGGACAGACCTGAAGCAGAGAAACGGCCCCAGCCTTTAGACTTTAATTAGATTGCATGTCAGCATATGTATAGGAGACATTTTGTTCAGAGCACTCTGCAAAAAGGACCTAATGCAGCCTCAGGAAGGCAAAAGACTGAAGAACTGCTTTAGGCAAACAATGTGCTGAAGATATATGATTGTATTCAAATAGAAACCCCTTTTCCAAGCAAGGCTGCTTTACGATGAAGACAGTATTTGTTACGTTTTTTGTGTGTCTTGACAATGAAAATGGTATTTGAAGTACAGTTATGCCTAATGTAATTTGCAGGATGTACATTATCAGATAATCAAGATCACATTTTTTTTCCCCCCTTAAGTTTCATGAAATGCACACGTTAATCTATCCCAACTCTGTGCCGTCAACGGTCCTTCCTACATGGGAACCTTGAGGTGAATTAAGTTTTCAAAGCACACTCATGACGGTTCAGATATTTTTCCCTCTAGAACCCTCAACAAACGTCTATGTTGAGAACCAATCTCCCACTACATCATTGTGTTTCTGTCCTAAACCTCAGGGCTGGATACACCAACAGGTCTGTATATGCAGCACTAACATTTTTCTTCAGTTTCCAGTTACGCTCACCTCCCCCAAACTCCTTTCAGTCCTGGTTTTAGAGATTTTAGCTATTTTCTGTATTGGCTACTACCTGTATTATATACTGTCTCTGCATAAGCTCTGGAATGCCTAGACCAAGAATACCATCCTTTCTGATGCAGCTTTCTCCTAAAAACTTTGCATGCTCAAGCGCCACAAGATGACACAGATGACAGAGCTCTCTTGGGTACAGGGACAGGCAGCTACAGGAATAATGCAAAGGTGGAAAATTCTGATTGTTTTCCCAGAGTCTCTCTACTCCTCTCTGAAGTAGGACTGGTCGGGCAGCTGAGACCAAAGAATGATCTCAAACCTGCTAGTGTCATGGTGGATTATAAAGTTTAGGCGTACCAAACAACTAGACATCCATAAGCAGCTTGAAGCACCAAAATTACCACTTGTGGAGCACAGATTACATAGAACAACAGTCATTTACACACAGATCTCAGTCACAACAAGAGACTATTTCTTCACTATCTTTCTACTTTAATTGCCTGACTAATTTGTTACCATTGAGTTCCTGGAGCTCTCTAGTTCAATGTATGACAAAGTAACAGAACCTTTTCAAAAATCAGTAAAGTATTTGCAAGTGAAATAATAACTACTCTAAAACTGGCATTTTAACCAACTGATTTTGCATTATTGTACATACAGCCAACTAGATTCACCTAAAAGAGTAAAAGCTAGTCATTGCAACAACTACTTGGTCATTCTAATTATAGCAAAGATCAGCTTGTTTATCAAGATGCTGAAAAAGTAATAATGGCTTTTTCAAGTGTGCTGGTAAGAGAGTAATGCAGATATGTATTTGAAGATGCATGACTGGGAAGAACAAGAATTCTTTTTTAAAAAACTGAGGAAAATATTTTTCTTTAAAACAGGCAATTTTCTACATCTTTAGAAATGAGGATTCAACTGTTACTTTCTTTCATTAGTAAATAAGGACTGTATTTTCACACTGCAGTCCAAAAACTCACTCAAGACTAATGGTTTAAACGCAGTATAACATCATTCACATTAAATTTGCACAAATTATAAAGCAAGCTTAATATTCAGGTGTCTTAAAACCCAAGTATTAAAATACTGTCTACTTGGATTGTTTCCTCTGAACTACTGACTTCCTTGCTTGCTTTGTAAATAACCATCTACATTAACATAGATGTTCTTGTTGCCTTCTTGTGATGCTACTGAATTGGCAAGATCAAAGAGTTTTGGATAAATAAACAATATTCCTAACATCTTTATTAATTAAGCACTGCAATCACTGCATAAAGTGTGAGTGTACCACCCCCTTGTAGTTCACCTCCCAGAGAAATGTTCCATTAGAAATGATAGGTCTTGCTGTTTTCTTTTAAGTGGTCTTTTAAACAGTTTAATTGTTGTGAAATGTAATTGAAAAATAAGGGTGGGTATTGGGTTGTGTGTTTTTGATTTTATTTTTTTTTAAGCTTGAATTACCTAATATGAATTGTTTGGAGGCCAAGGTTTAATTTTTTGAATGAAGTTTCTGTCATTAAAAATCAAGTTCAAACTGCACTGATGTTTTAATGCACTAGGTGGCATAATGATGTTCACATTACAGCAAATTAAATGCTTCACCATCACCACCCAGGCACTTAGTTAGATAATAGAAGCCGCCCTTTCTGCCAGATAAGAAGTCCTATGGTAATTTCTGTAATGATAGGAATGCTAATATTGTTAACCCTCTTTTTTGTTCTTTGGAAGAGTATTTCAAATTTTAAAGAAAAAAAATCATTCTTATTTAAAGCAAGCAATAAAAAAAAAAATGGAGCATTGTTCACATCAGAATACTGGTCATCTGATCCATGCGGTTTCCATTGATTCTCTATGGTCAGAATATCTTGTTGCTTCTAAGTAGGTGTACAAGGAGGGTGAAAAGAGAGTACAATGAGTAGTAAAATGTTCTTGTTTACTGTCCTTCCTCAGCTCTATAAACTGGCAAACCTGGGCTGTCACCAGCTGATAGATTATTTACATATGACATAGCATTGTATCGGCCTGTGTTGTTTAACTGCCATTAGCACTTGGAGGGACATTAACGTCCTTGCAGAGAAAATTTCTTTTGATATATGAAATATCCCATTTTACCCCACCAGAAACCCAAGCATGTACTGGATCCACGTAACACATGGATCCTCAGCAACATAATTTTAGGCAAAGAAGTTGACAAAGCGATAACCAAATACTCCTGCCATAAACCTGTCTGTTCAGTCAGGTGAGTAGGATTAATGTCCAGCCCCTCACACTGCAGACTTAGCTTTTGCCAAGATGTGATTTAAGAATTGAAGGTTCAAGTGAAAAATGAACTACTGAAAGCAGTGGTAGGGATTTCGGCTAAAAATCCTTTAAAACTTACTCCAGTCCTGACTGTGACAAAGTTTACCCTGAGCAATTTTACTTGTGACCAACATTAAAGTAGCTCAAAGACATATAAGTTTGAGAGTTATCACTTCATCTAGGACTCCAGTTTCATCAGCTTTGATATGGGCCACATTAAATGCATGTTGACACTGCCAGGAATTGGACCAGGTGAGTTGAATCAATCTTTTACATTTCTAACTCTATTAATTCCACTATTACTGTGGACATAATGAAAGATCCTTTTAGACTGATTCTGGTGTCAGTCTGAACCAGCATTATGTCAAAAAAAAATTTAAGTCATCTTCATTTACTGTAAGCTCAGAGACTTGCTTTTTGCTGCAGATGTTCTGTCACGGTTTGCCTGAATTTTGGGCAGTAAATTACAAGATATGTCAATGTAAAGTGTCAGTGAAATCATTTATCATTAACTCAAAGAGGCCATTATTCAGCTGTGGAAGATGACTTTTTATGAAATACAAAGGATGAGATCATGATTTAGTGACAAGGAGTGTTCATTTTCCAAAACACAGCAGTATGTCGTGGGAGTGAAAAAGGAAGAAGTTGATAAAATTTTATCTGGATAATGTTTTGATGTTTGCCATCCCAGTTAAAATTGGCTTATGAGACCTGCTGCTGATTAGCAGACACATTTTTCTATTGGCTGGCTGCTGTATCTGTCCCAGTTCTTTCTGTGCAATTACAACTCCCACAAGTTACTGCAGTTCCACAAGCAGGTGCCCTACCTGAGCACCTGGAAAGGATTTAAAGAGGTGTACAGCTTTCTGTCTTTAAGGGTTATTTGAAATATTGGAATTTCTAAACAAACACTTCAGAGAGTCCAGAAATTACAATTTCCCTCGTTTTTTGACATAGTCAATAACATGTTTACCTGATTTATGAAAATTATCCCCACTTAGAAAACTTATTTGTGTAAGCAACTGAACAGGATAAGGTTATTGCTGGGACTAATTTTGTAAAGACTGAAGATATGTCCAGCACAGAAAAAGGGAACATAGTGTGGCGCACAGTATCAAATACCACCAAGTAATCAATTCCCAGAAAAGGTTAAAGACAGGACTTCTCTGTTTTATGACGCAGTCTGTAAGGAACACTGAAGTGCCTACCTTTTCCAGCTGGTACACGCCTTCCTCTACACAGCAAATGGATGCCAATGTTCTCAATGTCTGGGGATAAAGACACCTGAAACCATCCTGGCGACAGATCTTAAATAGAGCAACTACACCTCCTTCCTGCAGGGGAAAAGCAAAAAATCAGAAAAGCAGCACTGAATGTTTCCCTAGTATTTAACTGAGATTGGGGTGGGGGGCAGATTCCTTTAGTAATCTACCCAAATTAGCTAACATCATAACACCAACAAAGAGAATGTTGAGCTCACACAGAGAACTCAAGTTGATTAATGCTTATACGCTAAGTGATGAAAAAGCAATATAGCCTCAGTGGGAGGTGTGCTTAAGCGATTGACTTAGAGCAATTACAAGCACAATTTAAATTAAACTTGACATTCATGTAAAAATTACAAAGAATTATCAATAAGCGGCAATTGGAGTGGCATTTAAGTGACAGTTCAACCATATGCTATTAGCTTAAAACAGATTTTTGTTAGCATATATTTCCCTTTCCTCTACATTTCTGAGCTCCATAGAATATTTACTTAATGCTAAAATATGAAAGAGAAGGTCATATGGTTGACGAGCAATTGAAAATAAGGTGGAAATAGGCGTCAAGTTCTACACAGATACAATCCATATCTTCATCCTCTAAAACATAAAATTTGTATTCCTACATTTTTTCTTTAAATATGGCAATAATGACAAAGATTTGTGTATATATACATCCTTACAGCAGCTATCCTTAATCATTTCCAACACACCTTTTAAGCAGATGTGTTAGCAAAGTTCACACAATAAGTGGAAAGATATAAATAAATACAGACAATATATGTATGTTGTGGTGGGGGATTTTTTTGGATTGCCCTTTATTTCAAAATGTTATGCCATCAGATAGACTACAGATGCCCTATATTATGTAAGAGCAGATGTATAATGAAGAGGAAAGCATTTAAAATATTAACAGCAGATAATAGATCTCAGACTACAGTATTCAGACTACAGTAGCAAATTAAAAATAGTTGGAATTGTGGACCAAGTGTAATATACACCCTTCTTTCTAAGCCTGTTTCAATAGCCTCCATATAAAAATATTTTTCAGATCACAGAAATAATCTTTTTCTCCTCAACCATTTGTGTTACCTGAAAGCTCAACAGGTTGTATTGACATAAAATCTCCAGACTACAATTTAGACTTCACTTATTTTCAGAATTCTACGTTTTTGTACTAGTTCTGGAATAGAGTAGAGAATAATACAGCATGCAAAGCCATCTGTTCATTCCAACAAAAACGTATATCAAGAAAATTAGAATTAGTCAAAATTAACATCTCAATACATTTTCAAGATAGAAGTCTTATATTATGTCTTTGCACATGTATATGTAATTTCAGTGACATCAGTGAAAACAGTAGACTTACTAACATTTACTAAGAGTAAAATTTATTTCTTGAATTGTAAGAAATGCACATGTATCTGTATGAGTTATTTTATATCTAGTACTGCTATATATAGCTTACTGCAGAAAGTTATTTCTGAGCCTTTAAAATAAAAAATTAGATGATACAGTAACAAAAAAGTTTCAGTCATATTTTCCCTTCTACAAAAAGGTATTGATATTTCACCTAAGCAGTAATTAAATTATCTATGAAAAATATAGAAAAAATCTATTACAGTGTTGACCCCAAACCTAAGGTAACTGGGGGTTTTATTTGTTTATTTTATTATTGGTTTGAAAGACCCCACAGTTCAGTACAATCGGAGATGATCTGATGCTCTGTTTTAGTCATAATAAGCAGAAGTTTGTGGACACTAGTAAAGCTCAAGTGATGTTGGCACATTTGCTTCAAGCTTTCTGTATGACAAATGGGTGCCCTGCTTTCGCCTCTGATGGACAGGAAGTGATTTATCACTGCATTTGTCAGGAGGAGATCTAAACTGTTTATTTTGTGCACTGTGTGCCATTACCAAGCTGTAAAAGATTGATCATGAGTAATGAACCTAGAGCTGTAAGTGAAATATGGAATAGGTAGGAAATACTGAGTCTAATTCTATGGCTGGTCAAAAACATTCCCCTCACAGGGATCTCAGCATTCCTGAGGATTTATTCACCTTTTCCAAGACTTGTCCCCTGTATCTTTTGCAATGATGACAAAATTACTCCATCTGACGGGGATACATGTAAATTGGTCAAATGGATAAACAGTACCATTCAGACAAAGAAACATAACAGCACAGAATTTTGCTTGCTTTGGAGATTAACTTGCACCTTTCCAAAAGCTCACAATATGTCTAAGCATGCTTTTATTTATCCTTTGCAGATTTTTTGGCATTTCCATTTTTTGACTAAATAACACATGAAATGCTGCTCTTAATGTAATTCAACTTTCATGTGGGATAGGCTTCACATACTCTGTGAAGCAGTATCTGAAAGAGAGAAGAACTTGCTTTACTGCTTGATGACCTATTTCTCTCCTATATTGGATTAATAGGAATTCAATTTCATGGAGACATCCCTGGGATGCCGTTCAGAAGTGCTAGCAGTAGATAACAAAATCACCTGAAATATAATCACAAAAAGTACGTGAAGGAGGTCATGAGCATAAAAAGCCCCACTGTGCATGGTGAGTTGAGCAAATAAAGAGGGGAGAGAAAAGGCATCCAACTCTCAGGTGTAATATTTTGCAGTTTCTGCTTGAAATTATTCAAAGTGCAGTGAATTCTCATCAAGCCTTTCCTCGTGATGGAGGACAACACTTATAATTAGCTTGAAAGATGATCTCCAAAGAAATCTTCATAGTAAATACTTGCTAGAAAAGGAACTGACATACAAAGAAGGGAAGGTCAAGATGTACTAGAAGCTTCTCAGAGCAAGCGATCTGCTGCACAGCCATATGGAATTAAAATAGTCAAGCATTCTCCAAAGAAGGGTGTGATAAACAGGTATGGCCATCTTCATGATCTTCATTTTTGCGTCTTTTAGAAGACTATTACTATAGCATCTAGTGGAATACAATTGGTACTAGACTAATTATCATTAGTGAAATCGATTTAATTATAAGTACCTCTTTTCAATCTCACTCTACGTCACAGCATTTATTTGTTGTAACTCTGAAACTGATTTTTGCCAATTCTTCTGGTCATTATGAAGTCAAATCAATTTAGAACCAGTCTACTTCAAGTAATGTGAATCTTTGACAGTTGCTCAAGTCCACTCAAAATTTATAATTTCTGGGTTTTAGTGCCTCCTTATGTTTTTGGAACATGAGGGTAGAATTACAACAACCAAGACTAATTTATAAATCTTTAATATGAAAGATCCCAGGATCAAAATTTAATAGATATAATGTAATTTAAAAGATACTTCTGTGAATACAGCCCTGCAATGCAACCCCAGGCAATGATACAGCAAGTTAGTCACATTGTTTGATGCTTAAGTACCTGTCAGAAGGCTTGGCAAGGAATATTTTAGCAACATTTGGTTCCAAAGGAGGAAACTGATCTACAGAGAGAAATGTGACTAAAACTTTTCCCCGGTAGTTGCAACAAATGCTCTATTTGGCTCTTCCTTTCCTAATTTTAAAAGCAAAAAGAGAAATCGTCTAAACTGGTGGAGTTTCCACTATGCTGCCACCAGTGTAGTTACTTGTAGATGAACACTACATATTATGGTTCAAAACTCACAGCTCAATGTTGGTTCTTCTATTAGCTCAGAATTCAAGGATTAGTAGTAGTAGTATTTAGGCTTTCTCCCTTCATTTCTTATCTTGCCCTTGCTACTACTCATTTGTGTTAGAGATCTTAGTCTTTATACTTCTGACAGCTAGTGAGAATTGACTAGCTGGCTGCCAGGGTGAGTCAGCAACATGACTTTTTCACAGCAGATTACAAAGTTACATGCTAAAAAAAAAATTAAAAAAAAAATAAAATCGAAGAATGCCTCCAGGTGGAAGAAAATTATAGGTGATACTTCAGCATAGGGGGTTAGCATTTCAAAGCCTTTTAAATTTTTGGTAAAATACTGGCAGGGGACAAGAGGGGGGGAAAGAGAAAAATGAAA